AAACCTTGAGACATATACTACAACTTGGTTAAGATTAATCCTTCTAAATAATCTTCCATCAAAAAGTCATTTTTGATGCTTATCGTCTCTAAATTGACTAGCCCGGATATACGGGCGTTACATTTTCCATTACTAAATTTTATTGTTTCATCTCATTCCTTATGCAAAAATATGAATGTAGGCGAAAACCGCGCGTAAATCCGAGTCCGTATGCGAAAGTTATGAGGAAAATACTAAAGTTCATATTTTTGGTCTAGCTGACCACTCTGCTGTATGTGCACGGGCCGCGTGCATGACCACGCGGGTCGCGTCCCGTAGCAGCTCAAACACCTCCAAAAAGTCGCTTTTTGAGTCCTAAACTTGCTTGGGTGGTTTTGGTCTTTTAAGTAACCACTTGTAAAACTTTTAAAGGTTTCCAAGAACTACTAGAGGATGTTTTATCATGTCAAAATATTCAACTTAATTCATAAATTCTTCAATCAAAATGTTAAGTTCATAATGCTTACAAACACTCAAATGAAAGGGTTAAGAGCTCAATTTGCTCAAAAACACTCTTTAACCAATATGACTTATTCCCAAATCATTTAATACATCATTGGGTGTTGTCAAGTAGATTAAACCACCATTAATCTCATTGCAAGTACTTAAACTAACCATGGAATCCTCGATTCCATTCCATGTTTCCCAAATTACCCTTTGGATCAAAACAATCACTAAAGCTAGAACCTTACTAGCATCCCTTCGTGTTTATGTTCCAATATCATCTCTATAGTGTCAATTCACATTCATGAATGTCATTCACTTCTTAGATGTCAAACTTTTTGTAGTAATCTATACATTTCCCAAAATACCCTTACGCCCAAAATATTCTATAAATTCAACCATAAATCACTCAAGCCTTCATGTTATTGCATTCAAATCATATTTTTAATATCAACTCATGATTATGAGTATCATATACTCATCAAATGCTCACATTCCAACAATTTCATTGTATTCATCACAATTTCTCACCTAACCATCTAAAACCCGTCTTTATGCTTGATTCTACCATCATGGATGAATTTGAGTATTACAATTAGTTTATTGCTATCAAATATCATCTAGGTCATAGAATCCAATCTCATTTCATCATCAATTGCAATATCCCCAATTTGGGTTTTCTAGGGTTCATGAAGCTTTTTTACCTAAATCCTCAAATCCATCAATGGGATGATTGGATTAAGATTATGATCATCAAAACAAATCAAGCGAGGTTAGAAACCAAAACCATAAGCATTAAACCCAATCAAATTCGACATTGGGGATTATACCCACTTCACAAATTTGAATTCTAAGCTAAAGGATGAGAAGATTTTTACCTTTCAAGCCTTGATTCTTTCTCTCCTTTGTTTGATTGTTTCATTCTTCACTTGGATCGAACCCTAGATTGAGGGGGTGTTTGGATAGGGAAAAAATGGCTGCTTATTAGCTTATTGCTTATTCTCACCACAATAAGCTAATTTAAGTGTTTGGATAGGATGCTTAAAAAATCAGCTTATTGTGGTAGGAATAAGCAAAATAAGCTGATTTTAATAAGCAAGGGGGGAATGCTTATTGATTATTGCTTATTGTTTATTGGTCATTTTACTCATATAAGTTGTTTTATTTTGCCAAACACTTAAATGCTTATTGCTTATTGCTTATTCCCACCACAATAAGCTAATCCAAACACATTTTATAAAAATGCTTATTCCCACCACAATAAGCAAATAAGCAATAAGGTAATAAGCTAAAAACTATTTATCCAAACACCCCTTGAAAGGAGAAGAAAATCGCCATTTGAAGCTCTCTAGCATGCTCAATATGTAACTGGAAGAGAAAGAAGGGAGTGTTCATCTTATTTCCCACTTGTTCACATTTAGTCCCTCTAATTTCTCGTTTTTGTCAAAAATGGTCCATTCTTCCAATATAAGTGACTTTTCTTTGAGAATAGACATCCTAAGTCCCTCTCCATCCATTACATAACTTTTGTAATCACTTCCATTAGTTGAGTCAACCCTTGGCAAACACACTTTGCCAAATTGGCACTTTTGGTCCCTTGACTCTGAAATGTTAACATTTCAACCTTTAACTTTCTAAGCTTTATATCAATTAATGATATAATTATCATTTAAATGACTTAATTACGTAAATCATGCTTTATTTAATTACTTAATTAATTTAAAAACCTTATCTTAAATTTTAGGATGTTACAATCTACAAAGACCTCCAACCCGATTATTGGTGGCCCTGAATGAAGCGGAATGTGGGTTGGTGTGTGGAGAGGTGCTTGACTTGCAGGAAAGTCAAGGCTGAGCATCAACGACCTCATGGCTAGATGGAGCCGTTGGGTGTTCCCGTCTGGAAACGAGAAGAGATCACGATGGATTTCATCAAGAAGCTACCGCGGACAACACGAGGGGTGGATTCAATTTGGGTCATTGTGGATCGGTTAAACAACAATGCACTTTTCATTACTATTCAGGAAAGCATCTCTGTAGAAAAGTTGGCGAATGTTTATATTCGGGAGGTTGTGGCACGTCACGGGGTCCCAATCTCAGTGGTTTCTGATCGGGATGTTCGGTTCACTTCCAAATTTTGGAAGAGATTTCATAAGGAGTTGGGTATTCGTCTGATGCTCTTGACTTTGGAGAAAAAAATCAGATTTTTATGTGACATCTAAACTTTTGTCATAAAACATAAATATCTTGGAATTATTAGGGAGTGGTCGTAATGCTCTTGACTTTGCAGAAAAAAACAAATGCAAGAGAACCAATCACAATCGTTTGATTTTGAAAAAAAAAAACAAATGAAAGATGACCAATCACTGTCCTCTTTCCATTTTTCTCTTTCCTCTCATTATCCGGACGACGAGCCTCACTTAGCGAGGCTTTTAATATGTGCAAGGGGATGATCTTGGTGATTTGGAGGCGAGGGACACTCCCTCCAACCTTAGAAATAGTGAGAAACTTATGAAATAATATATATTTTACATAACTAGGTAAAATCCTAAATAATTTAAAACATTCAATAAATGCTAGAAATATCTTATAAGGACCGTACAACGATATCAAAGAAATAAACTTAAACTGTAAATATATAACTATTTTTAATTTCTAAAAATGAATAATGGATTTTGGTATTTGAATTTGTATTCGAAAATTTGGATATTGATCCAGATAACAATTTAATTATCTGAACTTTTCATCTTTTTTATTATTTACGACCAACTGCTTTAAACATAATTACAATAAACTAGGGTGGTATTATTCCCGCTTTGTGGGGATGTAATTTGTAAATTTTCTATTAGGTAGGTGTCATTTTGTAATTTTTTTAAACATATAGACTGTTTTTATAAAAAAAAATATGTATATGGATCTTTTTTGTAAACTATAGGGATAATTTTTTGTAATCTATTTTCTGGACAACCACAAAACCTGTGAACATACGAACTATTAAACACATGAATCGTTTTTATAAATAATATGCATAGAGATATTTTATGTAAATTACAATGAAGGTTTTTATAATTTATTTTTCTACGAAATTACTAAACCTACAAACAAACGAAAAGTATTGTGATAGAAATGAACATTACACACTTCCACACAAAGATGAACTAGAGGTGGAAATATTCTAAAGTCATGTTACACAAATCAAAAGCACATTAAATCTATGTTCATTTTGCAACTGAAATTAGTATATATTTAACAATAATAATAATAATAATAATAATAATAATAATAATATAAACACATTAAAGTTTTGAACACTAAATAGATAGTGATTAGCTTGAGCAAAATGCGTAGCATTTTGATAATCTTTAATAAAAAAGGGTATTTTGTGACTTCTTAGTAAAATTCTTTTTATGCGTAATCTTAAAATCTATAGATAGTGATTGACTTATTAATGTCAAAGACCACAATAATAATAAAACTGCTAAGATGTATCTTTGTTGATTTAGTATTGTAGAACTTGTTTTTCATTCTCAATGATGAATCATCCACTCACTTTAATGGCTAACAATCCTCAAATTTCTGACTTTACATAGAACCCATGATAAATAAAAATTAAATTGCTTGAACCCTTGTTAAAATAATCTTAAAAGGGATCATTAGTTAATGAAAAGTGTATAGTATATATTTTTATTTTTTTCGTTTTAGGTAATAGTTTTAGTTTTGCCCCATTTATCTTGTACCAATGATTTTCCCTCACAAATGGACACTGAAAATACTTTTCTTTCTTTCTTTCCAGTTACAACATTGAACTTTAAAAAATTTTAGTTAGTAATCAGATAGGGATTTGTTATTGACACCAGAATATGATGTGTAGATAGAGAATTGCAAAATATACAACCCTAAGATCTTTATTTAAGAATGAATCTTGCTACCTCAATTACAAAATTTGGTCCTTTTGTTGTAGCGTATGTTTTGGATATCTTCAAAGAACGAATTTTGTTGTTTTTCAGTGGTTTCATTTGTTTTGGATTTAACCTCTTAATTTGAGATGATAAATCCATGTAAAATTACTATTTACCCCCGTCATTTTGTATTTGTTCTTATTTTTTTGACTAAATTACTAATTTGTTCACATAAGGGCAAAATAGTCATTTATATCAGACACGAACCAAGATTGTTATGAAAACGTATGACAAGAACATAAAATGCAAAAAAGGTTCCTTTTTGGTCTCATATAAGAAAAGAACTGTTAAACATAGGGACCAAATATGTAATTTAATTCATGAAATAACAGCGAGGGACTTCCTCTTGTGTTGATGTGGAATTAAATTTGCTTTATTACTTGGATTAACCCCCTTTAATGACATTAGGCACAACAATCATACAACCATCAAGGATGCAAAAGAAATGGAACATAAACTGCAGGGCATCAAGTGTAGAGGCAAGACTTTGGAGGTAAATATCTCCAAACACCAACGGAAAACCCAACAATATCAACACCAAATACCACACTGACAACCCATGCAAAGTAAGAATATGCAACCCAACGTCTATCATAGTGCTCAACCTTACTATACAGAGGTTAGAGGTAACAGAACATATGCCCAAGCTGCCCGTAACTCCAACGTGGAAAAACCACAACAACACACCTACCCAATCACCCTAAACCCCAACACGTTCATGAGATATTGGTTAAAGAAAGGTGTACTAATCGGTGAAACACATAGTCTCGATCATATGGCTAATCTACACGTACTCGGAATCATAAATGAAGAAACGAAGTATCTTGGAGGCCTTAAACTCGCCATACACTTTAGGTGGTCAGCAGAAGCAAAAGAATACCTAGAAGATAAAAATCGATGGCAAGACTGGTTCAAGTGGTTGGTTATGGCAGATCAGTTTGATCAGGATTATGAACGAGTTGCCTGGCTTAAGATTACAGACGTTCCTCTACAGTTATGGGAAGAAAATAATTTCTCGATCATCGCTAGTCGATATGGTAAAGTTCTTAACCCATTTGATGGCATATCCAATAGGAGAGACTACTCCATGAGAAAAGTCGGTGTATTCACCTCAGCAAGGAGATGGATCAACGAAGAAATCACCGTTAATTCTAACGGATGTGAATTCAAGGTGGGAATCGTGGAGTACACCGACGACTGGTCTCCATTCAAACCGGCTCCATTCGACAAGGTAGATCACTCGGAGGAGGAAGACAATAACACGAAAGGAATTTCGGAAACCTGGATGGAGGATGAGATGGAGGAACCAGAAGAAGGTGAAATTCGACCAGTGAACACAGTGAAGATCAACGCCCAACCGACTAATCATCAATCTTCGGCGGCTCCGGCTGCCGCAACACTTTCCCCGGCAACGAAATCGGTAAACGGGGGAATCGAAAAGTCTCCAACTAGTGCACCGTTGGATCCAAGTTACGAGAAGACGTGTAATGTTGCATTAACTAATCTTAATGCTGGAACGACGTATGAAGTGCCCAATGTAGATTCTAGGTCTAACCAAGAATGTGATTCTTACATCCCCATAAATGGGCCACCGGTAACTTACACTTTTGGGCCACTGGAGAATTTAGTTCCACTTGGATGTTTTGGGTCATTCCCCAACAATACTATGCCATTCTCTTTCACATCCCAGCAGACCCAAAATAACGAATTACACTCCAACTCGTACAGTGGCGGTGGACCTAAACATAAAAAAAGGAAAAGGGGTAAAGTGGTGTTCCCTTCCCCACGCACTAGTCCTCTGATACAAGATTACAACTCAATCCCTTCCATTTCACAGATAAAATCGGTGGCTTTTAATTCTTCCAAAGGAAATATGGACTCCACTTTGAATCTCTTAAATGAAGGTGACGTCAATTTTACCAACAATACTCCACGGTCGACTAAAGAGATTTCTCATACATCAGAAGTCAAAGATATGGTTGCGATTGGAAATGCAATTGGTTTTCAAATTGATGCCAATGATCCAGAGCTTGTAGAAACAGAGGTAGACTCCGAAGAGAAAAATGGTATTCAATGAATTGCATGTCACTTTACGTAAGGGGTATCGGTGAAGAAGCAAAGGTCAACTGGGTTAGGAAATTGAAGTGAGTACACAAAGCAAACTTCGTGGGGTTACAAGAAACACAAATGACAGAGGTTGAAAGAATTGACGTGAATGGTTGTTGGTGATCTCAAGATTTCGATTTTGAAGGTGTTAACTCTAGTGGAAGGTCAGGGGGACTTATAACCATTTGTAACTGCAACTGTTTCTCCAAAAAAGAGACTATTAAATCTAGACATTACCTCATAATAATTGGCAAATGGATTGGAATAGATGGGGATACCATACTGGAAAATATCTACGGACCTCATAGCCCCGGGGAACAAAAGAAATTATGGCATGATTTAGCAACCATCAAAAACGCAAAGCCTGACAATTGGACCATTTTTGGAGACTTGAATGTAGTACGAAGAGCCGAAGAAAGATTTAACTCAAACTTCTATCCAGTGAGTGCCCTCTACTTTAACAAGTTCATTCGGGACCAAGAGTTACAAGATTTTAGGATGGGAGGAGAAGTCTATACGTACATGTCCATAGTTGGAGCAAAACTGAGCAAATTGGATAGGTTCCTGGTATGCACAAATTTTCTCGCAGCCTTTCCGCCACTTGCAGTCACAACACACCCATGTGAGTTATCCGATCATTCTCCAATCACCCTAATCAGTACTTCCACAGACTATGGACCTCCACCTTTCAAGTTATTTAACTCATGGTTACTAAAAGATGGGTTTGATCTTACTGTTAAGAAAGCATGGGCGGAGTTTCAGGGGTATGGCAATCCGGATGCATATCTAGCTACAAAAATCAGATTTCTAAAAAATGAAATCAAAGTCTGGAAGAAAAAATCTGACGAAGATTCAAATCAGGAGATATCAAAAATTAAATCGGAGGTGGTTTTGATTGAGAAAGCAATCGAAACACGTCCTCTTACTGATTACGAATTAGATACCAGGAACCATAGTTTACAAAAGATAATGGAAGTAGAAAAACTTACAGTAATGGATTTGAAACAAAAGGCTCGGGTGAAATGGAATGTTGAAGGAGATGAGAACACAAAATTATTTCATGATTTTATTAACAATAAAAACTCGTGTAAAAGAATTAATGGTCTAATGTTAAATGGTAAATGGACCTCAGATGCCAATGAGGTCAAAGACGCAGCTTTTCGGTTCTTGAAGAAGAAATTTACGGAGACCAGATTATCGAGACCCAAGCTTATAAGCCCTCATTTAAAAACCCTTTCCATGATGCAAGCGATCAAACTTGAAGCTCCATTTAGTTATGAAGAAGTCAAGAATGCAGTATGGGTATGTGGAAGTGAAAAGGCTCCTGGACCCGATGGCCTAACCTTTAAATTCTTAAAGACTTACTGGGAGACAATAAAGTATGATGTCGTGCAATTTGTTCTTCACTTTGATAAGTTTGGGACCATGGCAAGAGGCTGTAACTCAACTTTCATATCTCTGATCCCTAAGATCAAAGACCCCATCTATCTCTCTCTCTGATTACCGCCCCATCAGCCTTATGGGGTGCATGTCCAAAATCATCTAAAAAATCCTAGCCATCAGAATCAAATCAGTCATTGGCCATCTTATCGAGGATGCACAATCAGCTTATGTGGAAGGAAGAAGTATATTAGACGGTCCACTAATGATAAACGAATTACTCTCTTGGTCAAAGGTGATCAAAAAAAAGATTTTGATGTTTAAAGTAGACTTTGACAAAGCATTTGATTCCATCAATTGGGATTACCTCGACTCAGTACTCTCACAGATGGGCTTCGGCAGTAAGTGGCGACATTGGGTGTGCGGTTGCCTTAAGTCTTCATGTGCCTCAGTGTTAATCAATGGTTCGCCAACATGTGAGTTTCAAATATCTAAAGGTGTTCGCCAAGGGGATCCCATATCCCCTTTCCTCTTCATCATTTCCATGGAAAGCCTCAATGTAGCGCTTGAGGCAGCAAAGGAAAAAGGTATCTTTAAGGGTATCCAAATCCCAAATCATGGTCCCATCCTAACACACCTGTTCTATGCGGACGATGCCTTATTCATGGGTGAATGGTCCAGATCCAACCTAAAACACTTAGCCAACATTTTAAAATGTTTCAATGCATCTTCGGGTCTCAAAGTCAGTTTTAACAAATCAAAAGTATTTGGAATTGGTGCTTCTGTTAGGGAGACTGAGAATTGGGCTAGCATTCTTGGATGTGAGGCGGGTTCACTTCCCTTCAATTACCTCAGAGTTCTAGTTGGGGCGAATATGAATCTTAACAAAAAACTAGAAACAAATCATTGATAAATTCCAATCCAAGATATCTTCTTGGAAATCAAAGTCACTTTCATTCAGGGAAAGATTGACATTAATCACTTCGGTATTAGGGAACATTCCCACATATTTTTTCTCTCTTTTTAAAGCCCCGGTGGCTGTCACAAATAAACTTGATCAAATAAGACGACGATTCCTATGGGGTGGAGATGAAAGCAAAAGGAAAATCCATTGGGTGTCTTGGGACAAAGTCGTTGCTCCCAAATCCGAAGGCGGTGTAGGAGTGGGAACTATCTGTACCTTGAATACTAGTCTGCTCGTAAAATGGTGGTGGCGCTTGAAAATTGAAAAGGATTCACTTTGGGCCACGGTTATAAAATGAATTCACAATCTTTACAATAAGCCTCATGGCTATCTCTCAAATCAAAAAATAAGGGGAGTATGGAACAACATTGCAGCATGCAAAAATGAACTCAAAAAATTTGGTTTGGAAAATACGGATATATTCCAATTACCCATTAAATCCGGAGAAAATACATCTTTCTGGTACGACAAGTGGCTAGGATCGGTTACACTTGTTGAAAAATATCCATCCCTCCTTGAGCTGGAATCCAGAAAGAAATGTACAGTGGCGGATAGGATTGTCAATAATCAGTTTGCAACTCACTGGAAATCTAGTGTGGATGGGGTTTACGAATTGCAATCCATCGATAACCTTAATAACGACTTATCATCGGTACATTTGGTATCGGGAGAAGATCATTGGACTTATGCAATGGACAGTAGCAGTCAATTCACAGTGAGCACACTAAGGAGAAAACTAGAACAATTACTATTCCCCAACCATGTCTTACCAGATTTTAAATGGAATAAGATATCCTCGAACAAAGTCAATTGCTTCATATGGCGAGCGATACAAAGGAAGATCCCATCTGCAGTGGCACTTAGGAAAAAAGGATTTAACATCGAAAATGAAAAATATGGTGCCTGTGTTAATGGAATGGAATGCTCTGATCACATCCTCATACAATGTCCATTTTCTTGCGAGGTCAGGAAGATAATATTCACTTGGTGCGGTTTACAATAGGAGTCTTTCACATCAGTTGGAGATCTAATCGTATTTGCAAAAAACTGGGGAAGATGCCCAAGGAAGCGGAAGAGATTCATTACCATTTGTCACGGCTTACTCTGGACTTTGTGGAAGTTCATAAATGATCGGGTGTTCAACAGACTGTTCCAAAACCCCACTCATGGTGCAGGGGCCATCAAGTCAATGGTGTTCTTTTGGATACAGAGCATGGGCAAAGGAGGAATCGGCGATTGGAAAAACTGGATCTCTTCTCCATTTCAGTTTTAATTTCTATTTAACACTTAATATTTCTCTTTCCATGAAAAGTTTTGCTTTGCTTATGTACTCTTGTCCTCTTGCTAGTTACTTGCTAGTCGGAGGTTCGTTTTAATAATATTTGTCGTTTCCAAAAAAAATCATGTGTATTTGAAGCTTTCACGTGAAGCCTAATTAAGTCAAACTCAATTATAGTTTCATTAATCATTATTAATGACATTGTAGTTTTTAGAGAATAGAGAATATGAACAAAAAAAATAGAGCTACCAAACTACAATAAATGTGTTGGAGTAACAAGTAACAACGCATTAGCTAGCCTTTACTTTACAAAATGGAATGAAAACAATTCCGCTTCCAGCCACTTTGCATTTGATGGAATAATGAAAACTTTAGCTTTCAAACGAGAAAGAGCCTACCAACATAAAAAATACAAGTGAGAAGACAACTAAAATCATAAAAATAATATTAGGATTGAGAAGACAACACAAGGACACTTGAAGCATGTATATATCAAAGTTTTGGTGGAACCCTAATCCTTTGGGCTTTGAGCCCTATTTAAAGGAAATTATGGCTAGGGTTTCAAGGTCATTCAGCCTCCATCATCCTCTCAAGCACTAAAACCCTAACCCTAGCCTCCATCACTCTTAGAATCTCATTCTTCATTTTTGGTTGGCATTTTGAAGGATAAGGAAGCCCTTGGTGAGGATTATCATCTTGCAAGCAACATATTCATCTCCTAGCTTCTCTTCTGGACTTGGGTGAGTGTTCAAGACTCAATCTTTTCCTTGCTAGGTTGTTAGATCTTGGATTTGGCCCCTTTTCTTCATGTTTGGTGGATTTTGGAAGATGAGATCTCATAAATCTTGAAAATTTATGAATCTACATGCCACTTGGAGCATTTAACCCTTTGGATCTGAAGTAGACTTGAGTTTTAAGGCCATACATGGAATCTTGGCCCTTTTTCCCCTTGTTTTACCCAAAAAAATGGAAAGGACATGCATTGGACATGCATGTCCCTAAAGATATGATTTTTATGGACCAAAAGATGTTGGAAACCCTTCTGGAAACTTTGAAGAAGTAACTCCATGGATTGAGTGCTTAATGAGTGAAATGTGCTTTATGCTTCCATTAAGAACTTAGGGTTTTGGATCTTGACTTATTGGCAAGGTTTAAAGAATAAAGTTGGAAACTTTATCCATCTAGGTTATGGTTTGGACCCAGTTTGAGCTTGGGGACTCCTAGAATGGGCTGGAAGATCAGCTTAAGGAATTAAGCCTTACTGACTGATCACCACGGCGTGGTGGAGCCTTATCACGACATGGTAGTTGGGCTGAGCACGCCAGTTTTGTCGTATTGCGATCACGGT